ATAGTTGGTGTTCTGTCACTGAGAGTAGGACACATTTCAAAGCTTCAAGTTCTGCTTATGCTTCCTACTTGTATTATTCCATAGAACTGTACTCATAGGTTTATGTGGGACACATAAGTACCTGGGGTTTATGTACGAGGATGAAACAAGGGTTAGAAATTTCAAAGAGGCAAAATGAAATTATATATAAAGGCCTTCCTATTCCTCCTCCCAAGTATAATTTAAAACCCTGGAATTCTTATATAAAATACAAGACTATAAAATGAAAGGTATAAAGTGGAAATTAACAAAAACCCTGACGGAAATACAAGGTAAGTTCCCTGTTGTGCTGGACTGTGTGCTGGAGAAGCAGGCAACCTAGAAATGACAGTGGCACAGATCACAAGTACAGAAGGTCACTTCACCTAAAGAACCAGGAATAAATTGCTGCACATTTAAGAAACCCTGGACAGTAAATATCTGGTTTCAGCCAAAACCAAGGTGGATATGTGAGAATCACAGTCACATGCTACCAGCAAAGGCCAGTGCTACCTTCTCACCTTAGCAACTAGGCTCTACCTGATCTCCTACTAGAGTAGTACCAAGAATGCTGAATTACTGAGTCAGGAGTCTGGACTTCCTACCGCTGACTATACGGAGTAGGGCTTACAGTTCTATGTTACTGAAGACAACTAGAGAGCAATAATAATCTGTCCCAGCTAGATTGTGTTGGCTGAGTCCAGTGGGAACTAGAATTCCCATCTTAATGTTACTGGATCCCTAAAGAAGAATTCAGATATCCATCCTTATCTAATAATAACTAAAACAAACAAACAAACAAACAAAAAAACCAAAAAAACCCTCACTGGTCTATAGGCAGAGGGGCCTACTGAAATACTAGATTAAAATCAGACCCAGACAGAGTCTCACAGTAGCCCAGATTTGCAGACAATTAAATTCACTCATCATGTCAGGAATCAGTACATATGGAGTCTGAATAACACTAAGATAACAAATCTAATTAGGAACTTATTAGACACCATAAGAAAACACACATAGAAAAACTGTTTTGATAAGCAATTGAAAACATCCTGGAAACAAAAAAATAAAATGCACAAAACATAAGACATAAAGAACAAAGGCTTTTAGAGTTGATTAAACACAATCACAATGTGAGGCAAAATAACAGTAGAAATATAAAATAGCAATGAATGGACTAGAGCAGGACAAGAAGGAAAATACTAATAAACTTGAAGAGCAAATAAAAACTCTCCAAATTGAGGAACACATGAAAATAAAAATTGTCAGAATACCATGAATATGTAAGACCACAGAATCTAAAGTGCAGGTTGTCAGAGATCCAGAAAAGACAGAAGGGTGGAGCTGAGACTTACAGAGCTGGAATAGTTCCAGATTTAGCAACTAGCATATGCCTCTGACTTTTAGCTGACAAATTCCAAAATGGTATAAGTTCTGAAGAAATGTATGCCAAGGCACTTCAGAAACTCCTGAAAACTGAATGAAAAAATAACTTTAGGTGATAGGAAAGCAAGTTGGAGAAAATATAGTCTTTGCTCCTGGACAGCCACTGTTCTCACGTGGCCTCCCTGTGACTTGGTATCTCCTTGAAGCTACATTTTTAATAAGCTCCACTGGATAGTTTGTCAGGTGGTGAATTCTGGGCCCCTATTGCTGTTCTAAGGATGGTGGCAAGTACTCGGCATGCCTCCCTGTCTCACAACCTCTGAGAAGCATAGTGATGGTAAAAACTTTCCTTACCAGAGTACTTCCATGGACTTTCATATTCTTAAATATGCGGGTAGGCACCCAGAAAGAAAAAGAAGAACTGGGGAATTCTGAAGAGAACTCAATAAGACTTCCATTCACAAAAGTGTAAGCAGAGTTGAGCTAAAGCAACCAACGAATATCAATATGCATGCAGTATTTCTCTTCTGAGAACAGAAGGGACTCCAGAGTTACCCAGCAGCAGCTGCAGCAGCAGCAGCAGCCAGAAACCAACCTTGCTGCAGCCACAGAGTCCCTGACACATGAGAACACCAGGAAGACACTCAAGGCTCACCTCCTCTCTGCCCTAGATCTGCTGGTGCCGCACACTGCTAGGACTTCAAACAGAAGTGTCAAGGAAATGGATGATAGTCTCACACCACAATAGAAGGCAAGAAAGGTGGAAAGTGGCTGTGGGGCCAAATGAGATAGCTGGTACTGTCAAACAAGCTGCAAGAGGTAATCTGAGAAGCAGTCTGTGTCTGGATTAAAATGGCCAAAAACGTAATGCTCAAAACATGTCCCCTGGTCCAGGTGGGGAGCACAAGTTCTTACTTTCAATTATTTTTTAAATAACAAGAAATTCAACTATATAGGCTCCCAAGGCAGAAATAGAGATAAAGCATGTAAGTCTGTCTTTTGTGTCTTCTCTCCACTATTAGTTTGAAAACATGTTGGGATTCCTTCCAGGGCTTTTGCTATACAATTCTATCTAAAAGGGTTAGATTCTCTTTTCCCCTTAATAAAAAAGAGTTTTAAATTTTTACATTTAAAATAATACCCTAACAGGTTTTTTTTTTTTAATTGCCTATCTTCTGTAGTATGAATGTACCATCACTTGACCTGTGGGTCTTCTGTGACCAGCAAGTCTATAGTGAACACTGTTTTGACAGTTGATATATACTGTGTAATAACTAATGCAGTAGAAATTCTATCTTCAGCCAGGTGTGGTGTCGTGCCAGCACTTGGGATGCAGCAAAATTGGGAAATTCTAAGATTGAGGCCACCTGGGGCTTCAAAGTGAAACCTTGTCCCCAAAATCAATCTACCTCTTCAAAACAAATTAATCCCATTTTTTCACTTCTGAAACTGCTATGTCATGAATATTTGCTTAGGCTTTCTTTGTTCTATTGTTTTGTTGGCTGAAAGACCTGCTACGTTCAGAAACTTTATTCTCATGTGTCTTGACGTGCCATTTTATTTATTTCATTAAGTATTTTGCACCAGTGTTTCTGATGTGTTCTAGTTTGATTCTTTATAGCCTTGGAAAATCTTTCTGTTATGCCCTGAAGTTGTTTTCTTTGTTGCCTTATATTTTTATCTGGATTCTCATTTTGAATTGTTTATCAAGCATTTCATATATTATGGATTGTTTTTCCTTTGGAGTTGTTCTGTTTCATTTTTCTTGGTCTGTGCATCTGGAGGAATGTTACCAGTCTATGAAGTACCTACTGTAAGGACATTTTTCATTCAATGGCATACCATTCAGATGGCATATTGAATTTGGGTCACAGCAGTGAAATGTAGTCTTACAATGATGTGTTCCTGGTATCAGTGGCATACACTGCTGTGGTTCATGAGGCAGTTGTGTGACTGACTCCATAGCCAGTGTCCCTGGATTCCACAGGCTAGCACTGATGGCACTGGAACTTGTTGAGAGGACAGTCCCAAGGTGCCTCAGAAGGACAGGAGACTCCAAGAGTTGTCACACCAGCTGCTATCTTCTAACCACACAATGCCAAAGAGATCTTCCTGAGATCTCTGAGTAGGAATGTGAGTGAGTGATGCCTAGGTCCGTGCAGCAGCAGCTCAGTCCTGGAGTCACCAGAGAGGATGGACTTTCCTTGGTAGTCAGCACACTTTTAAACCAAGTTCTACTTAGCAGTGTTTCAGAAATCCACTACCTCAGTTTTCTTTTTAGGAAAGTCACTTAGGAAACCCATTAAGTACAAATGGAGCTAGTTTCACCTGTACAATTTCTAATGCAATTTAGTTTTTCAGTCCAGGAAATTTATTGTTAAAGACTTCCAAGGCCATGATACGTAGTGTTAAAAGATGTATTACCCTTGGTCTGGTGATAGCCTGGCCATCCAAGCCTTTAACTGTGGGTAGTGATTTGTATGTTATTCTAATCTGTAAATGAGTAAATTTACCCACTCTTGTACTGAGCAGTAGTCATTTCCTTTCTCTTGTAGAGAACACCATGGGAATGCTATGCAGCCTTCTGTCAAGGATAACAGTGGCAGCCATGGCTCACCCATCAGTGGAAAATTAGAAGGCATCTTCTTCAGCTGCAGCACTGAGTTCAATACAGGGAAGCCACCCCAGGATTCACCATATGGAAGATACAGGTTTGAGATTGCAGCAGAAAAACTTTTCAACCCCAATACTAACTTATACTTTGGGGACTTCTACTGTATGTACACTGCTTATCATTATGTGATTCTTGTCATTGCCCCTGTGGGATCACCAGGAGATGAATTTTGTAAGCAGCGCCTTCCTCAACTAAATTCCAAGGATAATAAGTTTTTGACCTGTACAGAAGAAGATGGGGTGCTGGTGTACCACCACGCCCAGGATGTCATTTTAGAAGTCATTTACACTGACCCTGTGGCTCTTTCTCTGGGCACCGTGGCAGAAATCACTGGTCATCAGCTTATGAGTTTGTCTACTGCAAACGCAAAGAAAGACCCCAGCTGCAAAACCTGTAACATCAGTGTCGGACGTTAACGCCACTCTCGTCCACTCCCCTACCCTGTCTTTCCCATAGGAGATTGGCCTCTGTTGTTCATTTTCATCATCAGATGTTCCCACTGAAGCATGCATATGCCACTGTCACCAAAAGCAGACTATATATCATTCAGAGCTTTTCCGTGTCTCCTCTTGCCTACCCTGTCTACCACCAATGATGTCCCCAAGTTGTCCTGACACTTTGTTTGCCTAGATGCTGCAATGCTTTAATGTTTCCTTTATGCCAAACATAACAAGACAGTTATATAGACCGCTTTAGCAAAGTACAAAATAATGGCTTATAAATGGTGTTTAAATGTGCATCCATTTTAATCTACTGAATAAATATTGGGATAACTCCAAACCGCATGAAAGGGTATAATTGCAGCATGAGTTAAATCCTAAAGCCTAGAATTGTCAGCACTTCCACCTTGTTGTTTGACAGTGTTATTTATGTTATTTATATTAGCTAACAGGAAACAGTTACTGTGCTTCAACATAATAAATATAATAGAAAAATATTTTATTTGTATGTTGTATAAAATATTTACAATCATATAGAATATAGTTACATTTTAATAGCAATTGTGTACATCTCACGAAACCATTTCCCTTATCAAAGATGTAATTTGTAAACCTTAAATAGTTGTGTATCTGTCCTGTTACCAGTAGATGACTTCAATTAAACAAATGTATGAAGGCCATTACTCTGATTCATAAAAGATTTAAAAAATCAGGTGAATACAGAGAAAACAGTATGCCTCTGATTTAGTCTGCTTCTGGAATCAGTTTTTTTCTGTCCAAGCAATATGAAAATCTGAGTTTCTTCAACACCATGCTTAAAAATTACAGAAAACAGAAATATGAACAAAGATGAAGAGAAAATGTCTGTTACTTCATCTTACAAAAACTGAAATGTGCTTTAAAGGAATGGCAAAAAAGCAAGATACACTAAATAAAGCAAATAAAAGGTAACTTGGTGATTTCCAAGATCTTCACCCTGCGCAGAATTCAACTCACAAGAAATTTGTTTCACTTTATAAAGTACAGACCTTGGAACATTAAGAAAGATGCATATTCCCAATGGAAAAATAGTTATATAATCAAGAAAATTAGCAATAATACTATGGTCACGTTAGGTTATTAGACTGCAGACACACCTATCCAAAATACCTATTTTAAATTTTTAATATTTTATTTTAATATAAACATTTGTCAGTTAGAGACAAAGATAATTCACAAAGTACATGCCATCCAAATGAACTTTGGTAACCAGAAATGTAAATTTTCAAATAACAGATAAAATAATGCACTATTTTCATGTAGAAATAAGAAATTAGTGACACAGTCGAGTGTATTTTAGAGTGTTTAGAACACCTACAGACTTACAAGACAAGGTAGTGGATATTGTCTCACTTAAATTACCTTCTTACCGGCTGTTTTCTCCCTGGATTAAGAACAGAAGTCTTCCTTGTCTCACCAATTAATTTAAACCTGCTCTTTTTCCATACATCAATGAAGTTGATCTTTGGGCACTAGTAAACCTTCCTTAGCAGGTAGTCTGCCTATATGTTATTTTAAGTTTGATAAGAGTAGATTTTTTTTTTAAACAATTACATCTGACTGTGGATTTCAGTTTGGTGTGCAGAAAGATGAATGTTTGCCAGACCCAATATCACCTATTTCCCCATTTAAATCCCTTCTCGTGTATAATTACAATAACTCTTCCTTTGTAAAAAAACAGCTAATACTATCTCTAAAGTGCTTAGTTTTCAGTACATCAAAACTACTTATCAAGAACAGTAGAGGAAAATAAACTTGACTTTATCTTGGGTGGAAATGATCAGAGCCAAACCTCAAATAGTTTTGGCCACATCCTGCTTGCTGATGAGGACCTCCAGTAGTCTCAGTTTGGCTTTTATGTGCTTGTATTCATAGTACTCATCTGCCATTGGCATCCTGTCTTCCTTCTGCGGACTTCTGCAGAAAAGAAGACATAGTCTATTAGTAAATACACGAGCCAGATCATTATAGGTCCTTTTATAACAGACAGGGGAGTGTGGCTGCCATATGGTGTGTGAGTGTTGCCTTCTTTATATCCCCTCATCCTCAACCTATTTTCCATGTCTCTAAGTAACAGTATCCTTTTGCCACTGTGTTTTTGCAAATGTGAGGTCCCATGCTCAAGCACAGAATAATGGTGCAGGTGAAGGAAATGTCAAGAAAAAGCACAGGTTAGAGCCTCCCTCCAAGGAATCCCTTCTCTGCTTATCCTCCTACTTGCTAGAGCTCCATGCCAGTGCAGAATGCTCAGCATAACTGTGAAAACTGTTAAAAAAAAATAGCACCCTGAAAATACTGCAGATAGTTGATTACACAAGTATTCCATAAAATTATGTTGATAAAAACTTTACCGGGGCCATCTTATAAGTTTGAAATGTTTTCAAGTTTTCTTGCAGTTAAACCTATTTCTGCTGATGTGGTAGAACTTCTGAGCTTCTCCTTGACAGAGCTAATCTGTGAGTCTAAATAGTCTAAATCAGGGCCAGTGAGACTGCTCAGTGGGTAAAGGTGCCTGCTACCAAACCTGATGACCTGAGTTCAGTCCTTAGGACCCACATGGTAGAAGGAGAGAGCCAACCCCAAGTTATCCACTGACCTTCATATGTATGAACACATACACAGTTTAAATTGCAATAGTTCTCTCTGTGTACAGAGATTCAAAGACTGGGCATGTACCAATACATAGACTTTGGTACAGTCTACTGTGCTCTTGCTCTATTACTATGAATATTTACAGTGTTTCTAAGTGTATAGAAAGTTCATTCACATGGTCACTTTAGCTTTATAGATGGTTAAATCTTAGTAGTAACAGTCTTAAGGAAACAAGATTAAAGTCAATTTCCTTGCCCTTCAATGGTTTGAGTTTAGCTTTAACAAAGGAGCATTTTCTTATTAGATAATGTGTTACCAGTAGAGGGCACATTACTTCACATAGAGCAAGCAAGGCTAGACTTATCAAAAGTAGTTTAGGGACTGTAAGTGCAGTAAAACAAGCTGTTCCTTGAGTGCAGTTATGAGTTGCAACCGTGTTCCTCTGCATACTCATACATCGATTTTTATGTATACACAATCAGTGACTATTACCAAGAACAGGCAGAACAATTAAGCCACCATGGTGCCCAGTTTTACTACTGACAGATCCTATAGGCAGGACTGCCAATACATTGGAACCCCTCATACTCTTAACACAGACTCCTGTGTTCAAATGGGTAAAATGTAATTTCCTCAGGGAACTCAAAGTAATGAAAATATTATGTGTGTCTAAAACCTAAGTAACTCATTTTTAATGCACTGACTGTTGGGATTTAAAATTCTGAAACCAACTCAAATATTTCACTGAATGAAAGATTCTAACTGAATAATTTAAAAAGGAATTTTAATGTAAGTCAGAGATGTACTCAAGCACCTAGTTAGCCTATTACAAGTGTCTCACCTAGGAAGCCCACTGCTAATGAATAGCCCTGGAAAACAGAAAAACTATCCTGAATGATGCGAGCAGGCTAAGCTTGGATGTCTCAAAGTGCTTTAGCACAGTACCTTACAGCAGCCTGTAGACTGAGAGGAAGTCACAGCAAGGCATGAAAGAAAGGCATTTGGGAAAACAAGCCCAAGCCAGTGTGTCAGTAGGAAGAACCACCCAGTTCATCTCTGCACTTAAAAGCTAGGTGATTTGGGGAAAGTTATATGCTTGCTTATCCAAGGAGACAAAGTATTTCTGCTTTGTAAACAGAGATTGAGGACAGCTAAAGTAATTTGTCTCTTCTCCAAAAGATACTAACATTCATTACCTGGTGACTAACATTCATTACCTGGTGACTTACATACAGTTTTGTTGGTAACACACACACACACAAAAAAAAAAAAAAATTACAGGAATAAATGAGTGTATAGTAACAGCTGGGTTGAAATAAAAAAACCTAGGATGACAGATGGCCTAACTAAATATTTTGGGGAGAGAAAAATAGCTATGAACTTTTGACTAAACCCTGGAATAAAACAAATAGAGATGGGTGGTAAAATTTAGAGGAGATATTTAAAGGAAGTATTCATGTAATAGGTAGAGAATAACTTATGGAACTAAGAATCTAAGAACAAGGGCTGAAAAATCAAGTCAGTTTTTAAGCTTAGATAATTTCAGCAGATATAAAGCATTTTCAGAGTTCAATTTTCATTTTTGTAAAGATTGATGTTAATACTTGGCAACTATTAACATAAACATTCCATAAAACATCCTTCCCAAAGTTACCACGGGTTATTGCATTGGAGAAAATATAGTCTTTAGCTAGGATTAACATCTTATCACTGTTAATACAAAAGCAGAGTTCATTCTGAACTACAGTTCTTTAGGAAACAATAGCATAAAGAAAAAAAAAAAAACCCTCTCTACTCTTACCTTCCTGTCTGTTTAAAAAATTGTTCTTCAAATTCTCGCAGGGCTTTTCGTAGCCTCTTCTTGTCAGCCCTAGTTTCCCGGAGATGGTCGAGAAGGACTGGCCTGTGTCAAGTGAAACACATTTGCCATTACTGAGCACCAGCCTGACTGAATGATCGTGACTGAATTATATCAGATCAGCAAAATGGACCCATTATGACTGAAAAGTGATTATGGAAGGATGTTCTAAATGTGACACACATTGTAAATGTGGCCTCAGTGTAGGAGCAACACACAAGCCTAGTATTCTCTGACATTAACAGTGTCATGGGCACATAGAAACAGTGTATTACATCTGCTGTAAGAAAGGGTAACAGTTATGGTGATGTAATGCAGGCATGTAAGGAATATACCAATATTTGTTGACCAAGTAAAGAGAAGAGACAAGAAAAAAAAATGTCCTTAGAGTGTGGGGAGAACAACAAAACCCTTGGGAATGAAACTGAACCGGGGAGGGCTGACATTCCACTGCAGTCTACTTGGTGCTAGAATTTGTCCATCCTTTCAGGACTGAACACTGAAGTTATATGTGGGCATTTCCTCTAAGTCAAGTCTATTAATTTCAAAAATACTCCCACCCACTGAAAATTAGGTGGTTTTTTTTTTGTTTTTTTGTTTTTTTGTTTTTGTTTTTTTTTTAATAACTACCCCAAAGGTTGGAGAGAGTGAGAGAAGGAAGAAAGATATGTCTGCTTTCCCAGCAAGCTAAAAACTGCTTACTGTACTGGGTTTTTCCTAATTTCCATTTGGGGCACAACACTTAGAGTATATAATACATGATAAAGAAGATCTCAGTGTGGGATGTTACATACAAACCACTAATGCAACATGATCAAAAGATTTACCAAGTACTACATAATGATAATTGTAATGAAAGTCCAGGAAGCTCTTAACTGAGAATCATTAGGAGACAAAAGACCCACTTGTTGACTGGTGGCCACAGCTATCTATTCTCCATCTTATATATCATGTGAATTGAATAAAGCAAGAAAAAAAAAGGCTCTGGCCACTGTTGACTCACTAAGGATCTTGCTCCTTTGGGTCCAATATTTAAAGACCAGCTCTCCTCTGACACCTTTAAGGGGGTTACATGGGTTAATAGTGCCAAGATACAACAGGAAAGTAGGATCAATGTAATTGCACGTCAATACTTATGGCATACGTAGGGCTTTACTATGGCCCTTCACATCTCTGTCTTCTGTATTTTCTAGTTAAGCCATTTTCAGGTCTGTTCTTTGCTGGAAAGAGTACATTTTAGGCTCTGAACAGATGTTGAATTTTGAATGTGCAGGCAAGGTACCCAAGCCAGAGGTTTTGAGAGCCCACACTCTGGCTGCTCACTCACATGGTGGCCTCATGTAAGTTGGACATGGAGAGAGCTGGTTGCTTCCCTTCTTTCTTTTCTTCTGGTATCAGGGTCCTCATAGGCTCTGTCTCTGAGTAGGTGAGGTGATCACCAACAGGAAGGCGGGCCACTGGATCTGGTAAAGAAGGTGGTTGGCTTCTCTGTGGACAATCTTCATCAGAGTCCTCTTCCTCCTGCTTGTCACAAGCACAGTCAAATAGTCACAGAGTGCTACATGTCTCTTGAGCATTTGAGAAGACTACAAGACCCTACAAACCAGTAGACAGCTAGCCCATATGGCTGCTGAGAACTGGAATGGACAATACCAAGAGATGTTGCTCAGTTTCATTAATAGCCTGTGGGAGTAAAGAGGTACCCATGCTGAGCTACAGTGCTTCCCAAGTTTATCTATATGCACTGGCTAAGGAAGACAGGCATTTGGGGTCTGGCCCAGGTTGCACTGTGTGGTTATGTGGGTCCTCTCTTCCCTGAGACTTTCTGTACTCCAGCTTCATGGCAGAAATATAGGTTAGGGCAAGACGTACTTACAGACACCTTATCCAGAAAATGTCCTACTCAGACCCAAAGCAGGCCACAGTTAATACAGAGGATGTTAAGGATGTTCAAGTTCAGAAGGGCCCTGAGAAGGCAAAAGAGGCCTTACTCCTTAACCTTTAGTAATTATGACAGCCAAAAGGTTTTCTTGAAACCTGAAGGTCAAATTCTCCTGTAAACTATTATTCGTCCTCAATTTTAGACAGAGTTTATCATTCTCCTAACATCCTTTAATATATATAATTTTATATGTGTGTGTGTGCGCGCGCGCGTGTGTGTATGTGTGTACACTCAAGTAGATTTAAATACATAATGATTTATTTAAATTCATATTTGCTGCTTTTGAGTAGCTGTTTTGAAATTAATGGAGTAGGGGATGTGTTGTATTTCTCTATGCCTATACATTTATTTAAAATATAGCCTTACTCAGTTTCAATACTTCTTTTTATTGAGAAAAAATTGCAGCACCAGTTTTATTAACCACCACACAGATCAGAGATGTCTGTATCTTGTCTAACTATGTTAATATTATTATTTTCCTCACTCAAAAGGAGAGACAAGAAATGAAATTAAATGTTGAGTGGCCCCAAGCATGCCGTTTGGTATGCTTTTTCACAGAAGCTCCTGTTAGATCACTGTTATTGACAGCACTAGGCTAGGGAAGATGACAACAGCTGGTGGGATCATAGTATACGCAGCTAGGAAGGCCCCTTGGTGTGGTGCTGACTATGACATAATACTAAATAGCATAGATGCAAGGTGCCAATCAAGGTTCCCAGTTAGGGCAGCCATCTTTACTTACAATTGTTGGGATCAGGGAGGGTGTTGACAAAATTTGCTTGATAATTCTGCATCGGTCATAAAGAGGCTTTATGAGGTTCTTGTCTTGTTTAGTTACCTGAAAAACATAAAAGTAATCTGCATTCTTTTCTCAGACAATATTCTCCCTGCACCCACCATGTGTTGGGGATCCATCCCAGAACCTGTACAAGTTAGACAAGTACTCTACCACTGAGCTATAGTCCAATCCCTAAGACAGTATTCCAGCAGAACCCCCCCCCAATCACTTTAATAGCAGTGAGTAAAAAGGAAGTCACCAACAAGATGGTTTATCTGTTGTACATCGTGTGTGTGTGTGTGTGTGTGTGTGTGTGTGTGTGTACGCATACATACATACATACATACATACAAACAAACATACTTGGCTAGGAAAAAAATTCCCATAAATGATGGGAGTGAGTATAGAAAATTGGGCCATAAGGCTTTGTGGACAAGTCTGCAAAACATGAGTAATAAGTGTTAAAGTGACTAAGACCTATCACTTTTTCTTCTGAACATCTGTTATTTGGACTTTTGTGATTACATTCACAAATATCAGCTATGTCCATGCCTCCATTATTACACACATAGAATGCATATTGCCTTACTAATTAGTTCTCATATAAACTATAGTGAATTGAGGAAAAAAACAAAAAACAAAAAAAAAATTGACTTTTGAATCCTCCATTTCCTATGCACATAGCAAAGAGGTTAGAGTTCTTTCCAGGCTGTTCCAAAGACAAACAGGAATTTCAATTGGCTGGCCAAAGTTCCATCTACAATGCCCAACCTCTTAGTGTACTAATAATGCATTCCGTGCCCATCTGCTACAGGACTCATCCATACATGCCACTGTAGCAGGTCACAGTTCACATAAAAATGCATTGTCTCTCTCATGTGCTTATCCACATATCTACCCAAAGTAGCCAAACCCCTCTTCTTCTTAGCCCCCCCCACACACACACACACATACTGTCCCATGCTATATACCCATTACATTCTCATCAGGTTTCTACTCATCAGGACAGGGGATGGGAGGAGAAAATTCACCACAGTCACCCATGCATGTGTCTTTTATGAAGCACACGCCACAGGATGTGCTGCCTTCTAAATCTTCCAGATACTTGAGACAAAAGAAAATAGCTTTTGATGTTCCACACCCACCACAGCTGCAAGCCACACTGGTCCACACTAATCTCCTTTTCTACACACCTTTCTGTTTCACTGGACCTTAACTTTTCTGTTTCAGTCTTACCTGCCCAACTAAAACTTACTGAAGCTGGAGATGCCATCACATATTTCTCTAACTTCTCACCAGTATCTACCATATCCCTATCCTTATTGTTAAGTTCATAGGTAAAAGGAACTCTAATTTTTAGTAATCTCTATGAGTGGTGGTGGTGGTGGTGGTGGTAGTAGTGTTTTGTTTGGTTTGGTTTTTCGAGACAGGGTTTCTCTGTGTAACAGCTTTGGCTGTCCTGGAAATCACTCTGTAGACCAGGCAGGCCTTGACCTCACAGATCCACCTTCCTCTACCTCCTGAGTGCTGAGATGAAAGGCATGCATCATTACAGCCTAGCTATATATGATCTTGTTATATAAATATATACACAAATCGTAGGCTATAATATCTTTAGATGCAAACACATACATACACACACACACACACACACACACTGCCAATATGTAGTCCATGGGATTTTAATACATTTTAGGAGGGAAAAATATAAAAATATGTTCAGAAAACATTAAAATAGTATTTCCCATCAGTATCTCACTGGGACTTCCATTCTATAGAAAGCACTGACAAACAATGTATTTAAGCATGGGTCTCTTTTGAGATTTGATTGTGGTTTTTCTACCCAATATAGTCCCCAGATTCTAGGAGTATCCTAAAAGGGAAAAAAATATCAGGACACCTGCTGCTATATTATATCTTCTAGATATAACATGGATGTTACACCCATTAACTCTCAACACTTTGGCTGCTTAAACAAGACCTGAACAATGACAACACTAGTTGATAGGCCAACATGGATGGAGGAAATTTCACATGTCTCCACCCCAAGATAGAGCTTCAAGCAACAAATATTGAGAGAGGGAAAATTACCCCAGAGATGAGCCCCCAAATTGGCCAAGTGGCCATCCCTAAAAATATACATAAACAACCCTAAATAGACTTGGCATATTGTGTGTGTGTGTGTGTGTGTGTGTGTGTGTGTGTGTGTGTGTGTGTGTGTAAGAAAAAGAGGTTGTGAGTTGCAGAGGGAGCAAGCTCGAGGTAAGGACATCATAGGAGATGTTGAGGATAGGGGAGATGATGTGAAAATAAAATTATTGAGAACAAAATAACTTTTAATATACAAATGCAAAGATACTTTAAAAAAATAATGCAAGGATGAGAATGCTGCTTTAAAATGCTTCCCTGGATAGTTAGATGAACACTGGAGTGCACATACAATGATCCCAAGTCCTCTTAATGATAATGATATTTCTCCTGGGATCATTACCAATTAACCCCTAAGGAGGCATTAGCATGTGACACCAGCCCATGTGTGGGCCTAAGATACGCAGAAATATTCACGGGCCTTGATTCCTAAAACTGAAAAACAATGGTTTCCTGTTCTTTCCTATCCAGAGGAAAATGACAGTTTTGCTTAAAGAGAGGGAATAATTATGTTTAAAAGTTCCTGTGCTTTTCGGAGAAAGAGGTCATGACAACAGTTCCACGGGAAAAAGAAAACAAACACATGGATAAATCTGCTAGCGTTATAGCAGTTTTTTTTTTTTTTTTTTTTTTTCCGTAAATAACCTTCTGACCAGAGCCAGAAAGAAAGCATCTGGGCTGGCTACTTTGTGGCAGCTTGGAATGGCAGCTTCTCTTCAGAATGCAATGCCACACCTAAGAACTGGAGCTGCACAGGAGGTAAGGAATTTTTAGCATGGCAGAGTAACTAAGCTGCCAATACATCCTACCAAATTATGTTTGAGTTCTCTTCCTTAACCTCCTCCTCTTCCATTTACTTCAGGTACTACAACAGGAGAGTGAGGTAGAGCAATTGCCTATGCATACTGACCTAGAACCAAACACTAATTGCCCTGTCCTCGATAGCTCTCTCTAGCTACTTTATGTGGACAATAGTAGCTATCAGTAAGCCATATTTTATCAATATGATTTCTTTCACACATAACAAAAATCAAACAATAACTTTTTTGTACTGCAGGTAGTACAGAAACAAAATAGGTTTGTTTCCCGTGATTAGCTCTTTAAACAAACAAAACAGAACAGAACAAAACAAAATCCCTAAATATAGAAGTAAGAAAATGGCTGAGTCACAAAATCTGAACTATCCAGGCCATGTTGTAGGGTTTCCCAGCTTCAGAATGAACTCTGACTAAGCACAAATGCAAGAAATCCCCTAAAAGTCTGGAGAGATCATTCACCATGGAAATTTTATTAGTTCATGTAGTTTAGGTGTATGGCAAGAAAGCCAGATGAAAGTCATCTATCCACTCAAACTTTAGGAAACTGCACTTACCAAGATGAAATGACATGCCACAGGTTGTTGAGGAGGCGGGGAACAGGCTAGATGCTAGAATTACGTGGCTTTTAGTTTTGCCATAGCCTCTGAACCCATTGTTGGTACCCACCACATGACTCCCTATGGTTACACTTCTCTGGAGCAGTACTGGAATGAGGTATTAGAGCCTGCACATCCCACTACAGATAGCCCCTAGCTAAAATGCCCTGGCTCCATTGTATAACTCCCAGGTCTGTTTGAAGTGACTTCTGATACTCACTAAATCACTCAGTAGATATGCTTGAAATCAAAAGAAATCTTTGCCATTTGTGCAAGGATGACTTCTGAGCACTCAGGTTCTTGTCTCTGAACTCATTTCTCTGAGTTGTCTCAGAAGGCCAACTGAACATCCCAGCTTGCCCAGGACTGAAGCATTCCCAGAGCATGGGTTTTCAGTGCTCAACCAATGAAAGAAGCCCTATGGAAACTAGGAGGGTTGGTTACACAGTTCCTCAAACATCTCAAATTGAAAGTTCCCCCACATATGTTATTCCTCTTAACATTTTCATCTCCACTCCAAAATCTGCCTCCTCCCATCATAATTAGGATATGTCAGTAAGTTGACCAATCTCCATGGATTCTTCTAGCTTTTCTTCTTCCCTCTAGGCAGTAGTTTTCAACCTGTGGATCCCTGACCCATTCGGCAAACCTCCATCTCCAAAAATATTAATTATGATTCATAACAGTAGCAGAATTAGTTCTGAAGTAGCAATGAAGATAATTTTATGGTTGGGGGTCACTACAACATGAAGACCTGTATGAAAGGGTTGAAGCATTAGGAAGGTTGAGAACCACTGGTCTGAGGCTTCAACATGTTCTCTTGTTTGAACTAAGATATGCTTTGAGTATGTTGTCTGTCTACTAACTATATTGATCAAGCCACCCATTCCACCTTCTCATTTGCCCTTAATTTATTCACACAGTCATCAGATCATTTAAACATTTATCATTTCACGATGTTTTCTGTTACCACTTGGCCACCCCTTACTCCATTTCACAGCCTACAAGGTCCCGTGTCATCCCAGTGGTCACAGATTTTTCTGATTGTATCTCATGCCTCCCTACTTCTCAGCCCTCAGCCCTGAGATTCTAGTGTATCCAAAACAAACAACAACAAGAAACTGTTTCCTTCTTTCATAGCCTTTAGTGCTTGGGAGTTCTGTCTAGAATGATCTTTGCTGCTCACTTTGGCTTGTTCACTTTCCTGATTAAGTGTCAACTATCTTTGTCCTTCTAATAACCTGATTCAAAAGACAAACTATTCCTATTGCTTTCTGTCATTCATCTTCATTCCTTCCACAGTATTTACCACAATTCTTGTCTATTTAAATTGCTTTTTATTTCCCAACTCTCAGTAGAGAGGCAGTCCAGGACAGTAGTCCCCACATAACTTTTCTGTTTTGATTTACCCAAACTCATGGAACAAGCATTTGAATCTTTTTGGTAACATGTAACTGTCCATCAATCATCTACTCTTAAGAATGGATACAAAGTGTCCCTCCAAAAGCTCATGTATTGTGTCTTGGTTCCCAGCTGGTGGCTCTATTTAGAGGTGACTGGACCATGAGGTTGATGACCTCATCAATGGACTAATCCACTGACTGATTAATAGCCAAATAGACTATTTGGAGGTAGAGCCTATTCAGAGGTTGTTGATCAATCATTGGGATATTGATATTGACCAAGATGTTTATATAGATATAGACAAGATAACTATGAAATACAATGAAGGCTCTTAGAAATACTAACGACTAGGAAACCCCAAATGTGCCCGAGTGTGCCATGTACGCAGAAATTATCTACTGGCTATCATCGAAGTCTACAATGTTGGGGCAGGGATAGGCTACCCATATGTGAAAAACAACATACCAGCCTGTGACCCTACCATTACTGATGTCCCTTCATGACTCAGAACACTTTGGATCTTTTGCAAATTTGAAGGTGAAAGGGTGATAGAGGTGACTCTTGTCCCAGAGTAAAAAACTAAGATGGGACATATAGGCCTTCTGAGATCTGGCATATGGTCCTGCCTTATTAAGAGCTGGTCACGTCTGGCAGAATAGGCAAAGTGATCATACTTCTCAACAAGACTTCATTCAGAGTCAGATGTCATTCAGAGTCAGATGTCATTCATTTCTTCATCCAGATATTCACTCAGCAAACATACATTCTGTACCAGTTATATATAGACACTAAGATTCTTTGAACAGTAGATAGTCTTTCAGTACAAGAAATATGGGTTGGGCTGAAAATGATATAAGGTACTTAGAGAGATGACAAGGTGTCTGCCGCTCTTACGCAGAATGTAAAGGTCAACCACATGAGCCTCAGCTTTGATAAGGGAGGGACTCAAAGCTCCCCTGGCCTAAGTGAAATGGAAACACAGATAAGCAACGTCAGGAGAGATTATCAAGGTAAGTGCTGCTTTTCTTTGTAAAATGTAATAAATCTTTCTGGCTAAGCCCCAGGCTTATGTATCCTAATGCCTACCTGACAACTCTATCCAGCTGTCTCCGATTTCAAAACTAAGATGTCTAAATCTGAAATCTTTAATTCTATTGCACCCTAGAAATCCCAGCTCTGTTCTTAGGACATGAAACCCTTACTTTAACCCTCTCCCTTCTTTATCACACTTTAACATATGGGAAAGGACCTAGACTGGAGTTTTTCTTTACTAGTAATAGAATTCTACCCTAGACTTAAGTTTATTTACTTATTTGGTGGAGCATAGAATGCATCCTCCCATCTTTTCCAACTTCCACCAGCACACACCTGCTCTGGAAGCGGCACATCCTAGCAACATTTCTAGGTCACAGCCCTTAACCCACCAGGGACTCAACAGGCTGAAGGGCTGGAGGCAGTCTCCTAAAGATGTCACAGTGTGGTCAAGTGTTCTGACAGTTGGTCCAAAGCATGCCCTTGCCACCCCATGCTGACTTGGTGAGGTACCTTTACATCATCCTGGGAAGGAATCTGGTCTCTCCTCTCCATCATCACAGCATCTGAAGTCTCCTCTCCAAAGGAACTAGGCTCTGGACCCACAGCTTCCAACTTGCCATTTTCTCTGGGCACTGAAGGCTGTTCACAGGAGGGGTTTCTCCGAGGGCCTTTTGGGGTACTCCCTTGTTCTTCCGACAGCTTCAGCTTTAGTTCTAAGAGAAATGCCTTGAGTTACCATGAGCAGGAAGGACTCACTGGCCCAAATGAAAACAGAGCTTCTCAGGAATTCCCTTCCCAGCAATCAGCAACGCCATCACTGGCTTCCAGCTGGCAAAGTCAGCCTTAACCATGACCAGTATCACAAGCACTCGATGCAGACAGAGACCTAGAAGCTGGGCTTTCCTGGGGTGAAAGACCATGAGAGATGGGGACTCAGGTTTGGATTTTAGCAGAGTTCTGGAGGAAGGCCTGGCCTCCTGGTTTCCACTCTTGCCCAGTGGAGCCCTTGAAATTCTATGTGCAGTTTGTTGGTAAAAGCTGTGTATCTAGTAAGGCTTCTGGAAATACAGGTGCTAATAATGTATTACAAATGCAGAACTGAGGAAACAGAAGAGATGAGAGGGGCATTGGGAATTCCAGCCCCAACTTGACACATTTCACAGTCTTGTCTGATGCTTTTTACCCAAAGAGAGAGAGAGAGAGAGAGAGAGAGAGAGAGAGAGAGTGTGTGTGTGTGTGTGTGTGTGTGTGTGTGTTCTGCTATATGAGTGTGAATGACCACAGAGGGCAGAAGATGAGTTGAGAACTCCCAGGAGCTAGAGCTGGGTAGCACAGTGTGGGTACTGAGAACTAAACTTGGGTCCCCCGGAAGAGAAATAAGTATTCCCAAACCCTGAGACATCTTTCCAGCCCATAAATGTTAACTTTCAAAATCCAGAGTCCATCATTTTAACAGTGTGGCTTTATGCAACTCTAGACAATTAAAAATAATAATAAAAATCCCACCTGGGACCTCACAGAATTGCATTTCAGAATATGCCATGGGAAGGGAAAGCTGAATTTGAATAAAATCATTTATACTGATTCTTCAATTATATAATATAGCTCATTTTTTCTCACATAGTTGTATGATCTGGCTTCATGTTTTGTTTGTTGATGACTGACTTGGTGTCTATCTGTAGCCCATGCTTGCCTGCAACTTACTATGTAGGCCAGTAATAACAACCCTGCCTCAGCTTTCCAAATACTGAAATTATAGGCATAAGTCACCATGTCCAGTTGCATGATTTTATAAACATGCTACATCATTCCAGTTTAATACCATCAAGTTATTCCTTGCAATTTGGACCAACTCCTATATGTCTAAATACTGACTTACAGAACAAAGAGAAAGAAAATTACTTTTGTGAGTGCACAGTGGTAACAGCGCCATCCCAGAAAGGGGCAAAGGATGAAGAGGAGTGGGCAGGGAGGCAAGTCATCTGCCTGTCTCAATACCTCCAAGTCACAAAGCCTTTTCTTTGGGCTTAGCATGCTCACCCATGCAGTGGACATGTGGAATGGATGACTCCTTAGGCAATCTTTGTTTCTCATAATCTAGTCGTAACCAGGGAGGTTAGGACCCCACAGGTTGGCTGGAGGTCCCAGGTTCTCTTTTGTAGGTTTATTAAGAGAGCCTGAATGATGTGGGGAGCCAGGGGTGTCATCTCAAATGGAGCACCAGTCTAAGCAGGAAACCAAAGCTCAAGAAGGCCCAGGTGGAAGTGGCTTGCAATTGCCCTGCACATTATGCTGTTATGAGCAGTGGCTCTCGGAGAAGAGGCGCTCACCTTTGAGCTGTTTGCGTCCTTTAGCCAAATCATTCATCCATTTCAGAACCTCAGGATTCGAAGTCTTGTCCCCATGTGAAGGCTACAGGAGGGGAAAGTAGAAGTGGATGAGTGACAAGTGGGGAGTGGGGTGGAGGAGGCGGGGGAAGGGAGGGAGAGGGTGGGTGAGTGAGGGGGGAGGGAGGGAGAGAGAAAAGGAGGAACAGAAGAGAAAAAAAGAAAGAAAAAAATAAAACCCAACAATGTTAAGCAGCTGAACCACAGATAATTCAGAGACACACTGAGCTGGGAAAGGTGGCAGGGCATGGGGTTCCAGTGAACAAAAATTGTTCTCCACCTTCTCTCCTCCATGAACATTATTTTGAAGCATGCCAAGGCACCCAACATTTTCCCACATCCCAACCGTGCCAGTTCATCCCGCTGTCCACTCTCTATCACCTCCTAGCCATCCTCTCTACCAATGTCAATGAACACGGTGATAGTACAAAAATGAATGCTTCCCACTTTGCAGTGGACTGGAGTGGGCCCTGCTGGGAAACACTAACCAATTGGAAGGCTGGGAACCCACCAGTCATGTCCTCAAAGCTCAAGAAAGCAGACCCCATGATCTCTGAAACTTGATAATTGTCCCAAAGGCCAGCCTATCAAGGATAGCACTACTTTTGAGCACTATTAGAATTCAGGGTCCCACTGATCTAGCATTACAGTGAAACTTAATCATGCATATGACCTTGGGAAGATTCTTTAGCTCCTCTATACCCTATTGTCTCACATACTAAATACGTGAGGATTACAGTATCTCCCTCACAGATATCCTGCAATGGATCAATATCTATAAAGCACTGTAAACAGCTCCAGGTGCGTGCTGAGCAATACAGAAGTACTAGCTCAAATTACGAAAATTACTGTCACTAGCTTTGTCTTGCTAGCACCAGATGGTGATAGTGGTAATATTTTCACCGGGCCTTCAAAGGAATTCTGAATGTATCTAACACATGGGGGGGGGGCATGATTCTGCCAGTGAGATCACTCAACTTCTGAATTCCTTCTCAGAACATAAAAGTAGATTTTCCCAAGAAAAATCAGTAGATAAAGTTGGCCAAACACCCTTAACCTCATAATGAGTGTTCTTCAGCCAAAACTACCATGCTAACTTAAAAGCACACTAAAGATAGTTACCCCTACCTGAGACTACATGAGGAAATTGGCTGTGAAGCTCAGGGTGCCTCCTGCACAGTAACAGGCACAAGTGTCAGCAGCCAGCCCTTGAAGACCCATTTCAGCCACATGAGATGAGCAAGTCCAGTGACAAGCACAGGATGATGGAAAGTACATTCAATGTAAAAGGAGATAACAGTGCTTATGTGACACCATTAGATATGCATGAATGCTGTGTTCACTGTGAGAACACAGAGTGATTCAGTCAGTTATAGGGTGACACAGAAGCCCACATCTAAAAATCAAGATGGAAAGGAAGACTGAAGGAATACCACAAAGATTTTTCCTCTAAGAAGAGGACTAATGAGGGACTATGCCTTCCATAACAGAGCCCTGGACTGTCAGAACCATGGACAATGACATGGATTGTCCAAGCCTTTACTCTTGGGGGGAGGGGGGGTTCAGCTTAGTGTAGCCCTACCTAGAGTCTCCAGAAGGAAGCCCTGTACTAGAACCCTGGTATGTAGCCTAGTACTTTGGTCTTAGCTGTCTAGCTATATTGACAGCTTAAGTTTTATATTTGGTCTCTTGGAACACTCAAAGAATTTTCTATTCTACAAACTGAACAGGAAGTAGCATGTCCAGAGACACAGAGCTGCCTAGGGTCTGTGTAGGGTTGATATGCACAACACTATGACTCAGGAACTGACAGCTCACAAATGTGAACAGTCTCCAAAACAGAATCCCCATTCATCACTCTTCAGTGTCCACAGCAATGGCGAGACAGGCCTGACAAAAGTCCAGCACATCGATGGTGAAACAAGCTCCTCCCACAATACTGGCCATCAAAGTTAGACGCTAAGAATCCTATGACACCACCACCTGAGCCTGTTCTTAACTCACTGCTCCAAACCTCAAGGGACAGCACACAGCTAGTTGGAAGTCTTCAGTGGGCTTGGGTTTACTTATCTACAGGATAAAGGCTGAGCAAATACAGATATCCTTCTGCATGGACTAAGAGTAGCCCATGACTGCCGCATGAAGGGAAGAATCTGCAACATCCTCACTTAGACAGTCTTGAAAGTCAGTCTGATTGCACTTTCTATAAAACTAAACACCATTCCTTAAAAACCTCCTCTCAGTGAAGCCAAGGCCACACAGGACAGGAAAGGAATGGAGAATGTCACCCACTCGGTCACTTTCCCCCAGAATTTATCACATTCTCACAGAAACCTTCTGATTGCTTCTGTACTGAGAGCTTATTGGGCCTTTAAATATTTCAAGATGTCTGAGAGAATTTCCCCCCTGCTCTATTTTATCCTAATAACAAGCTGCTCTGGGCTGTCTGCCAGAGACCCACTATCTTTGGACAGTTCTCTGTGAATTTGAATTTTCTCTACTGCATGGTCACCAAGAAAATAAATATAAGCAGCATTGGTCAAGCTGACCCCTATCTGGGCTCTGTGGTTTCATATGAGAGAAAAGACAAAGCTTCGCTGGCAACTCTGCCAACCCAGAAGGACTGGTGTCTGCTGGGAAAAGTGGGTTCCATTTGTTCTCGTGAGTGGCCTGAACAGGTACCACCTGAGATGTGACCACTCATCCACCAGGATGTTCTTTCATGGCAGAAAAAAAAAAAAACAACAAAACAAACAAAAATAACTGTGTCTCCCATCATTACCCTCTACAGTTAAGAGTTTCTGCATGTTGGGCCCTTAAGTCCTTATCAAGACACAGGTCAAGTTCAACACTCAGAAGGTTTCTGAGTTTTTGATCTAGATAAGGATGATAAGGATGCTCAGAAAGACTGGGGAAATGAATAATCAAATAGTTTAAAGTTAAGGGTTGTAGTGACAAGGATGTATCTAACAGAGATCAGCTAGTTTTCAGCTTACAAGTGAAAACTAGACAGACTCACCATTAAACTTAGCTCATGATGAGGGGGCAGTATATATGGGTGACCAGTGGGGACAGAGCTGTCCTCCAGCAAAGAGGTGAAGTCAAAACCAAGGGATGGAGACCCAAGAAAATGTACACAATTGTCGGACACAATCTGTGCTTCCATTTAACCCTGGGATACTTACCCGGTATTTCTTTTCTTGTTCAAATTTTTCTTCAAACTTCCGAATCTTCCTCTTGAGGCTCTGGATGTGTTTAGTGAGCTGTGTGATGGTCTGGGACTCCTTGCCATCCCCACCACTGCACCGAGAAGAGCTCCGGGGCCTGTCATGGTTACAAAGAACATTTCCAGCAGGGGGCTTCAGTGACCACTGCCACCTAACCTTTGAACCCAGGAGATGAGAGAATTCCAAAGGGCAGCTCCTTATGTGACTACTCTACCAGGAGCCCCACTCATCCCTCAGACCTCTGACCACAGCATTGCATCATGGGCCAATATCCTTGGAGACTTTTCACGTACAAATTTCAAAGTATTAGTACAAGAAATACATTTCTCAAAGTGTTGTAAGGTCACCTTGGGTCTCAGACAGCCCTGCTGAGGCTCCTGCATCAACAGGTTATATAAGTCACACATAATGGTGTTTTCAAGCAAGATTTAAATGTGTGGTTAACTATCGTGACATAAGAAAAATATTTTTCAAATATGTCAAAAGTAATGGCTCTCCAGAAAACAGAAATTTCCAAGCAATCATAATGACTCATTAAGTCCCTCAGATCCCTCATAAATGATCCACCCTATAGTAACTCAGGCTGGGACCAACTCAAGAATAGTAGACATTTTGAAGAAAAACTAGGTACATCAAAAGAAAATTCTTTGGATAAGGGAACCTCCCTTTTAATTATACATCAAAAGTATTCCTGCAAGCTAAAGAAAAAAAAAAAAAAAAAACAACACATAGTTCCTAGAACTTGCTGCAATTTCAAATGCAAAGAACCATTACAGAGTGTGTAGATCCCACATCTGGCACACATGGAGATGCTGCTAAAATGACCCGTGTAGGGATCACATCTGACACACAGGAAGAAACTGATAAATGACCAATACAAGTTGGATACAGGTACCACATTTTAAATAACTGCTAAATGACCAATGTGTGTTGGGGGGACATCTGACATAGATAGCACTATATCTAGCTGCCCATTTAATTTGGAGAGGATAATGGTTATTTTGGATATCACTTTTCTAGACCCCAACAAAGAGCTGAAGGGAGAACTCTCTAATCTATACTCCCCCATTGTTGGACATGGAAAGCACACTGAGTTATAAGGACACTCTAGATGTTTGCAAGGGACACACTTCTCATTCTACCCAAGACAGCCAAACATGTTTTGACTCTCATGACCTGAGACCTCAGGTCACTACAGAGGTGGTATTCCCAACTGGAGAGGGAGAATCTTGCTTTATCACACAAATTCACATTTGTATTCCATGGGCACATCTGCCCTATTTCAGAGCCAAATTTCACTGTGTGTTAGGAATGCCTTTGGAAAAACTCCAGGAAATGAAAAAGGTCATCAAAGTGGCTTTCTTACATCACAAACTGCTGGCTGCTGGGTGGAGAGGGAGCTGACTCGGGGTCCAAGTTGAACCTCTGACTTTGGCTAAAGATGGAGCATCGTGGTGACAGCAATGGGTTATCGCCATCAGTGATGTGACTGAGTAGCCTGCTGGTGCCTGCAGACTGGAGATCTTCTGGTATACCATCGCCATCACTCTGCACATCTTTAGGAGTTGGCACAGGGTCTGGGAAAACAAGATGAGAGATCCAGACTTAGAAGTGACAGAGAGCCTTAGGCTGTCATGTTCCTAAATAATGATCATAATATCGATGATAGCTGCATGTTTCTGTCATGTATCCCTTCTGTAGCTGTAAAAAGCTTTCAAACTACTATCATGTTTGTTCTCCCAAAAGGTGGGTAGAAAATTTTACAAAGCCAGAAACAAAGGGGTTGGAAGGCTATTTCTGAATGGGTTATCCAAAGATCTCATTTCTTCTCATTTGCATGAGTCAGAAGGAGTTGAGTGAGTAAGATAGAATTTGGGTAAAAGGTATAGATTGTGAGGAAGAGGGGGATTAACAAAATGATTTGTCAGCAAAGGGATGGAGGGGAGGAGGTGTAGGAAGAAAGGAAGGAAACAGATGAAGATGGATGAGGGGTTAGTCTCTAAAATGAGGACTTACCAACAGACCTGATGCACAGAATGTGCCCAGTAGAAACCAGAGTTCCACACACAGCAGCACCATGCCTGGGCCAATGAGATGGATCAGTGGGGGAATATCAAGACTGAACTGGCTGGCTTCAATCACTGGGACCAACATGACTGAAGAAAACCAACTCCAAGTTGTTCTCTGACCCTCACACATGTGCCATGGCATCACACACACACACACACACACACACACACACACACACACACACACACACACACACACGAAATAAAATTTTAAAACAAGAAGAAGGGTAAAAGAAAAACCAGAGGTTACAAAGTAACTCCAAAAAGTAGAGAGAATTAGGAATGACTCTGATCTGCTTCCAAAATATTATGTAACACTCAATTTTATAAAACAAAAATGAAAACAAAGCCTGCTACAATATCTCACCATGAGGGATGCAGGCTGATGCTCTATGTGAACTTCTCCCCAAAGCCTAAATTAGCTCTGTAGTTCCCACCAGGGCTAGTCCAGATGTCAGCTTCCCTGGGTTAAGGGGGAGATGAGAGGTTGGCATGCCAACAAGATCACTAAGACACTGAGGCTGACCTCATGCTCAGAGATCCACCTCTCTCTGCTTCCAAAATGCTGGGATTAAAGGTGTATGACACTACACACAGAGCTTTTTTTTTTTTTTTTTTTTAATTAAACCATTTGAAGTGGGAATACACACACCTTTAATCCAGATATTTTGAAGTGGGAAAACATACTTCTAATCTGGGCCACACCTTCTGCTGGCAATTTATGTAAAGGACATGGGAGAAGGAAGCTCCTCTACTTGCTTGCTCTCATTCTCACTGGCAAATCCATTCCTTCAGTGGCCATAGAGCCTACTTCTTCAGGATTCTGGAGTTTATTAAAGACAAGCTGAGACATCCAGCCATGTAGACTGAAGAACTAACAGATTCTTGAACATCCCATTGGTAGATAGCCATTGTTGGATTAGATGGACCATAGTGTATAAACAATCCTAATAAGTCCCATTTGTTTGTTTGTGTGTGTGTGTGTGTGTGTGTATAGTATATATTATGTTTATCTGCACACATATATATATACGTGTGTGTAATTATACATATATGTATTTATATTATATAATTACATATATAAGTAGTGTTCCTCTAGAGAGCTAATGCTGCTGGTAATTTGGTACAGCCTTAGTTCTTGTCCAAACATAACCATTTGAATTGAAAACATGTTTAATTAAGTCAGTTGGCAAGTGTATTTGTGTGTACATTTGTGTAGACAGATTCATTGAGCTCCCTGCTCAAAAGAGGCTAAGGCAGACTCAAAGCCAGAGCTGCCATCTGGGAACAGAGCTGGCAGCCTCTTCCAACCCCACAGGGAGAAGTGTGTGGCCACCTTGAACTTGGTGGCTTCAAGGATCCTGAGGACATACTCTTTGTTTCTTCCAAAGTAATGGGGAGCTTGCCAGGGCCCATGGCATGATATGTTATGGTTTAGAGGAAGGGGCTGGGAACCAAGAATCTGATGAGTGTATGTATATACTGTGTGTGGAGTTTTGGCCAGCTTCATGACTCCCGTTTCCTTGTACCAAACATACAGAGCTGTGAAAAGACACACAGAGGAGATCTGCTCAACAAGCTGGCAATAGAGGACCCCACTTACAGACGGTGAAGGGGTGAACCCCATGCTAAATGCTCATGCAACAATAAAAGACTCTTGTTTGTCATTTCTAAAATCTCTGTAAAGATATAAAACTTTAGAAAAAGAACTCCTGAGTTAATGTAAAATTTGAGGCAGGGGTCCCTAAAAGGTGAAGCAGAAGTCATCTTAACCCACCAGAACAGTCCAGAAATGAAGTCCTGTGGGAATTCTAAGTGCTTATGAGAACACGCCACAAAACAGACAAGACTCTTGTGACTTCAGTTTCTTCAAAACATGAAATTGTTCTTGGAATGTGTTTCCATGCTCCTCCCAGGTGTAGCGGATATGAATTTACTTCAGATTACTCATTATTGCCTGCTGTTGCTATTCAATTTAACTATCCTTTATATGCTTCTATGGGAAAATGTGGTTTTGCCATGTGTGGCTTGTCTTTATGATTTTATACAGCTTCAACTCCTGAGAACTTATGTGACCTTTCTTAACCCTCAGAGTATAAATTGTCTGTGGCTCTGAATAAAGATGGTTATTGTAAAAGACTTGAGCCCACCTCATTTATGGGCTCCATCCTCCCTGGTCCCACTGCTTCTAGAGTCATGACATTAGTCTAAGTGCGACTAAACAAATTAGTGTGAATCCTAGGTCTTTCACTGGCTAACAGAAACAGACTACGGTGTGGTGTGTGTGTGTGTGCCGCATGTGCGTGTGTTCATCCACCTGTATATGTCCACATATGTACCATGTGAGAGTATAATTTTACAAAGTTGGTTCTCTTTCCATAATGTGAGTATGGGAAGCCAATCTCATGTAGCCAATCTTGGCCCCAAGTACCTTTATGCACTGACCCAAAATATGAAATTTTAAAACTCCTTTATCTATGGAATGAAAAGACTAATGATGTCTTCTACACAAAGCTAAGAAAGATTGACATTAAATAAAGCCCATCCTTATGAGCTATCCATGCAACCTATCTTTTATATGTGTCTAGATATGATTACAACTTAGTTTTTGATTTCCAGATTTAATTGGGAGAATTATGTTAAAGAAGTGGTTAATCTGCCGGGCATTGTGGAGCACGCCTTTAATCCCAGAACTAGGGAGGCAGAGGCAGGCACATCTCTGTGAGTTCAAGGCCAGCCTGGTCTACAGAACTAATTCCAGGACAGGCTCCAAAACAATACAGAGAAACCCTGTCTCAAAAAACAAAACAAACAAAGCATGGGGCAGGAGGGATGGCTCAGAGGTTAAGAACACTGTCTGCTCATCCAGAAGTTCTGAGTTTAATTCCCAGCAACCACATGGTGGCTCGCAACCACCTATAATGAGATCTGATGCCTTCTTCTGGCATGCAGGCATGTATGCAGATAAATCACTATATACATACTGAATAAATAAATCTTTTAAAAAAACAAACAAAAAAGTGGTTAATCTGATTGGCTACTGACACCTTTAAACCAATCAACATAAAAATAATTTCATCTTAAACTTTCCAGTGTAGAGCTAGGGGTGAGCTTGGGGGCCAGATACTTGCACAAGCATGCACAAGGCCCTGAGTTCAATGTTAAAACAAAACCAAAGTTTGTTCACACATCCTTGGTGAAACATTAGGATAAGGGCTATGAAACTGGTGTGTGGTCTCCTTGAGAACTTCTATTTTAATAACTTATAAAAATAAGGACAATAAATATTCTGAGAACCTCCTAGGAGCATCTATGGGGTACACTATGAGAGCTATCAATTTATGCCTCAATACCTTGGACCTCCTGTCAGGGCTTATTTTCAAAGAAGATGATGACTAAGTGTTTGTGTGACTCACTATGTTCTAACACTTGTTCTGAGTTCTTCACAACACTCAGCAAAGCTGGTTTTCAATTCAGTAGGGCAGGTGTAGCGCTAGGCTGACCCATCTGAGGGGGTGGGGTGGGGGCTCTGACCAGTTCCTCAAGTAGACCATGACACATTTCTGTTGGTGCAAGCTGAATTGCCTCTGCCAGCCCACTCATAGTAGCACAGTAGGGAACACAGAGCAGAGAAATAATTACCTCCAGTATATGGAGGCCAGGAGACTACTTCTGATCTGGCTGCAACCCCAGGCAGAAGCAGATGTTACATTGCAATGAGTCAGTCAGATTTAAAAATGTATCTTCCTAATGTGGATTTTTTTTAAGCAACTCAAACTTTAAATAAATCTCTGCAAGAGCCTGAGAAGCCAGATCAGACAGATCTGGCAGAACAGTCCATAAGCCAGTCAGGGTTTGACATTGTGGTGGGCTCATGGGTAACATTCGGATTTAGTCCAAGGGCCAAACACCACTGGTTTTGGAAGTGAAATGAGCCTAAAGCATGTCGATGAGGTTGGCGATTTTCAGGCCTAAGAGGTCTGGCCCTGGTGGTCTCAGAACAGGCAGCATGGGAGTACAGGAGTACAGTACTGTTACACACACAGAAGGCAGATTCTGGAATAAAGCCCAACTGTCACAGTTAGCTTCATCTGTCAACTCAACACCAACCTAGGGTCAACTGGAAACAGGGAACTTTAACTGATGTAATGTCCAGGTGAAAATGGCCTATGGCTACATCTGTGGGCATTTTCTTCATTGCTAATTGATGAGGGAGGACCCAGCCTACCATCCCAAGGCAGATTAAGACTGGGCTAAGGGAAACAGCTGTACATGATGCAAGGAAATCAAGACAGAGAACAGCATCCTCTTTCATGCTTCTGCTTCAACTTCTAGGCTCCTGCACAGGCTTCTCCTGATAATGGACTGTAAAAGCCTAAGGTGAAAGGAACATCCCCCCCACCAAGGTCAGCATTTTTATCACAGCACTAACAAACAAGGACACCAACCAAAAATACCTGGTGGATTTCGTTGGGTTGCATTGTAAACATGCAGTATTTGAGCTTCTG